GGCGGCCTACCACCACACCCAGGTGGCCTATCTAACATGCATCTCAGGGTGGAGGTCTGTGAGGCTGACTCTCCCTGGGGTGGGAGGGGTGGTCAACTTCTTCTCCTGTGTGTCTGTGTGGGGGGTTTCACTGACTTTGACTCCTTTCTTCCTGCAGTTGTCTGCGGAACAGAACTTGAAGTTTATTGATCCTTTTTGTTGCATTGCGGCCAAAACCAAAGAGTAAGTAGGGCGTCCGCTGTCTTTTCTCTCTGCTTTTGGTGGGAACAGGTTTTTCCGGGGTGGGTGTTGCTGTGACGGCGGACACTGCTACACACACTGACCTCTCTTGTTTATTCACCACTCAGCCGGGTCCTGCTGCACTCCATCACACATGGGATCTTCGAGCTGATTGTGGACCAGGCACCATTTGCTGTGGAAGACCTAATGAAGGAGCTGGAGCGCAGTGAGGGGGTCGACGACTCCAGTGAGGACCAAGCTTCTGACAGCGATCTAGACGAGCCCGTGCTGGGCAAATCAGCAGCGAAGCACATCAACGGGGCACGAGAGGAGCTGGCGGAGTCTGAGTGTGAGCCACACCACCTGCAATTAGTGACCCCTCCCCCCGCCCATCTCCTCGTGTCTGTTTCAATGTCTAGTTCAAGACCTTTCCTGTTTTCCTGGTCTCTATGCTGTGAATGGCAGGGATGTAGGCAATCCCGGTAGTCAGTCAGTGCACAGAGCTCATCCCAGATTGAGCTGGAAACACAGTCATTTGATGTGTTGGATTTATTCTGCTGCTTCTCCTGTGCTGACTGGCTGGACTCACCTGTATATTTGCATCTAGGCTCGGTGACAATGGGAGCAAAGTCCCCGCTTGACCGTGGGGAAGACGAGGAGGAAAATTTGGATCTGCCGTCAGACGAAGATGTAGGACCTGTCCTTCAGGTGAGAAGACTTCATTCTGTGTGTTTAATAGGTGAAGAGTATAGAGCGTATCTCAGTCCGAACAGTGAGTGACTCTCGACTAAGAGTTATTTAACTTTAAATCCTGCTCGTTTCACACACGGGGCCATTTATTCTTTTGGTTGTGGGTTAGACCTGTGTAGGGGTGGGTGGGGGTTAGCCCTGTGCTGGGTTGGGTGGGGTGGGGGGTTAACCCTCTGTCTGGATGGGTGGGGGTTAGCCCTGTGTCGGGGTGAGCCCTGTATCGGGGTGGATGGGTGGGGGTTAGCCCTGTGCCGGCGTGGGTGGGAGTTATCCCTGTTTCGGGGTGGGTGGGGCTTAGCCCTGCGTAGGCGGGTGGTATGTTGAATGTTCCCAGGTGTAGGGTGGAAGTGGTGTGGGGGCTTGTTGGATGTTGTGGAACTTAGCAGTGACCCCCTGCTGCCTGTGTTTTCCCTGCAGTTTGACTACACAGCGATAGCTGGCCGCCTCTTTGAGCTCGCAAGCAAGAGCAAGACAGCAGCTGCGAACCGGAAGCGCCTCTACAAACTGGTGAAGAAGTGAGTGCAGCATTTGACAGCGCGGTGGCTAGTGTTAGTCTCACTGTGGCTGGTGTGACAACGCCTGTGTTAGTCTGTCACTATAGCTGGTGTGATAGCTCCTTTGTGTGTCAGCTCCTGTGTTAATCTCTCACTGTGGCTGGTGTCACACTTCCTGTGTTAGTCTCTCATTGAGGCTGATGTGACAGCTCCTGTGTTAGTCTCTCACTATAGCTGGTGAGACAACTCCTGTGTTAAGTCTCTCACTATAGCTGGTGTGGCAGCTTCTGTGTTAAGTGTTTCTTTGAGGCTGGTGTGACAGCTCCTGTGTTAGTCTCTCACTATAGTTGGTGAGACAACTTCTGTGTTTGTCTCTCGTTTCGCTTGCTGATACTCACTGGCGCGCTCTCTCCCTCTCTCCTCAGATTCAAGGATTTGGCTGAAGGTGAGATTGTGGACATTGCTGCCCTTGGCCTTTCTCTAGTCCTGGTTTGTTCCACATATCTAGTTTTGAGTTGCATTTTTTTTTAACTGGATCCACTTTCAGGATGCCCTCGACTCTTAAGCTTCTATCCTTCATATTATCTGTCCACTTCCCTCTTGAAACCTACATGGATTTTGCCTCTGCACCTAACTTAGTAGTTCCACACCCAACAACTCTTGAGTTAAAAAGAAAGTTCTCCTAAACTCACTTTTTGCTCTTCTTGTGACTAACAGAGCTTCACTGTGTTGTGCTATCACTGACTTGAGATTGTGGACAGTGTAGAGGGAGCTTTACTCTGTGTCTAACCGTGCTGTCGCTGACCTGGAAGTGTGGATGGACAGTGTAGAGGGAGCTTTACTCAGTCTCTAACCTGCTGTCGCTGACCTCACCCTAAAAGGGGCAGCTTCTATAAGCAACTTAGCCGTAGAGTACAGAGAAAGCATGGTTGAAGCCATGGAATGGGAAAGTGTGAGGGTGCCTGGCGATGCATTTCTAACTCTGTCTTGTGCAGGAATCTTCCCACACGACGCGCTCTCTGCGGAGCTCTCCACAGATGAGGACGACGAGGAGGATTTTGAGTGGAGGAAGAGGAAGAAGCGGAAGGCGGCAGCGGAAGAGCGGCAACGAAAAAGTAATGTTTGCACGGGCTCTGTGCTGCTCGCAATGTGTGTACACTGCAGCTCATTGCCCCATTGACAGCATTGCAAATCATTACCACAATTGTAAATTGTCACATTGACACCGCTCTCGACTCTATCCACAAGGTCTATTGAGTATGACCACGCTACCAGTCTCGGATTAACCTCAGCTGGTTAAGACATTCTATACAATTCTTCAACTCAACCAATGTTTACGATGATAAAATAATTCTTGCATTTGACACAATGCCTTTCACGTAGGAGGAGGTCTCGAGCATTCCATAGGATTCACTGTGAAGTGTAGTGACTGTGTAATTTGTAGGCAAATTTAGCGCACAGCAATGTCCCACAAACAGCCATGGAGTGAGTGACTAAAACTGTTCCCACAATCACCATGTTCTGTGTGCAGGTGGCAGCCTCTGGTCTGGTCATCAATCTCTCTGTATGAACCAGGGAGCTATTGGCAGTCAGGCTGTGTAGCATTCTCCCCTCTTCATTTTCTACTGAATTAAATCTTAAACGGTACACCGTATTGAAGTGGCGGGGTCCTGGAGGTTAAATATGAGTGTGATGGTTCATTCCCTTTTGGCGAAGTCTCAACTGTTTCACCTATTACTCCCTAGCCCCTCGCTATATCTCCCCCTCCCCTCCCTGCAGCTGTCTCTAGCATACTGCACAACTCCAGCTTCCCATGCCACTGTCAATGGCTGAGCTTTCACATTCTATATCTCTGACCTCTCCCTTGCTCTCATCTCCATCCAATAGACTTGTCTATCCAAATCTGGTCTTTAAAAACCTGCTTCTTTGACTGCGCCAATGGTCTCCTCCTCAGTGTCAACTCCTGCCTTTGTAAAGCACTCAGACGTTACATAAATGCTAATTATAGTCGATGTGTAATTCTCTTTCCCCACCACCGCCTAAGGGGAGCCTTCAGAGTTCCGCAAAACCACGGGACTGAAATTGACCCTTTTTGCTCTGTAGAAGAAAGGAAAGAAGAAGATGTTCAGGAAGTGGACAGCCCTCAGCCCCGCGAGGAGCGAGTGGAGGAGTCTGCAGCCCCCAAACAACCAGCGGCTGTCCGGAGAAAGAAAAAGAAGCAGAGAATAGTGAGGAGAGCAAGTGATGGAGCAGAGGTGGTGGTGGCAGCGGTGCCTGGCGGACACGGGACGGAGCAGCGCCCTGAAACGCTCACAATAACAACAGCAGCAACAGCAAAGGTCATCGGGGCGGAGAGCACGCAGTCACCCGCTGAGGCGTCTGGGCACCAGGACTCGGTGCAGGTGGAAACCCAAACCCTCGTCGTGAAGAGGAGAAAGAAGAAGCAGAAGGCGAAGGCTGTGCTGCTGAACGGCAACATTCTGGCTGGAGCCTCAGAGCAGAGCCCGCAGTCCCCAGCCCCGCAGCCCCCAGCCCCGCAGCCCCAGCCCCACAGCAACACGGCCCCAAAGCTAAGCTTCACCACAAGAAGTTGAAAAGCAAGAGGAAAGTGTCATCGCTGGCGCTCGCTGCCGGCCCCGGGAAGCGGAGAGCACCGCCACTTGGCACCCGCGGGGCCAAGAAGCTGAAACCCCAAAGCAACGTGAGTGTCGACAGCTAGAGCCCAGCCTCCCATCCCCACCCCCACACACACACAGCGCATGAGCCCAGCCCCCCCCAACCACACAGCGCATGAGCCCAGCCACCTCACCCCCACCACCCACAGTACCCGAGCCCACACACACCGCACCGCGCACAAAACCTCCCACCCCGCTCTCCCCCGCCACCCCTCGTGTCCCTGACACCATACGCCAGGACGAGGGGGTGCCTACCAGGTGCTCACCGGGTTTACTGTTTGCAGGGAGACCCCATGAGGAAGGCACAGACCCCGACACCAGACAGCGACTTTGTGACGCTCCAGAGCGCGGCCATACCCAGGTCCTTGTTCCTAAGGAGAGCGCAAGGCGCCAACCACACCACCCAGCCTGGGCACAAGGTAACCATGGTCTCCTCCCTACCTCACTCACACTCTCCCTCCTTCACGCTCCCTTCCTCACCATCATCTCCCTCTTGCCCTCCCTCTCGCCCTCCCACCCCCCCCTCTCTCTCGCTCCTTCTCACCTGCCCTCCTCTCTCTCGTTTCTCCCCCCACCCCCCTCCCCACACCCTCTTGCCCTCCCTGTCTCCCCCTAGCTCCCTTCCTCCCCCTCATCCTGTTTATCACGCGTTGCAGGTTACAGTCTCGTCTTCTAGCAACAAGAAGGTTCGTTTCGGATTGAAAAACAATACAATGGCAGGTAAGGTCTCTCCCCCCCCCCTCCCCACACACACACACACACTGCCACCCCAACACAAACCGCCCCTCCCCACCCCCCACACACACTGAACCCCCCACACACGCACTGACCCCCTCCACCCCCCACACACACTGCCCTTCACCCCCCACACACACTGCCCCCTCACTCCTCACACACACTGCCCCTCACCCCCCACACACTGCCCCCTCACGCTACACACACTGCCCCCCCACACACACTGCCCCACACACCTTGCCCCCCATCCCCCACACACACTGCCCCCTCCAACCCCACACACACACTGAACCCCTCCACCCCCCATACACTGCCCCACACCCCATACACACTGCCCCCCAACCCCCACACACACTGCCCCCCCACCCCCCCACACACACTGCCCCTCACCCCCCACACACTGCCCCTCACGCTACACACACTGCCCCCCCCACACACTGCCCCCACACACCTTGCCCCCCCATCCCCCACACACACTGCCCCCCTCCAACCCCCACACACACACTGAACCCCTCCACCCCCATACACTGCCCCACACCCCATACACACTGCCCCCCAACCCCCACACACACTGCCCCCCAACCCCCACACACACTGCCCCCCACCCCCCACACACACTGCCCCCTCACCCCCCACACACACTGCCCCCTCACTCCTCATACACACTGCCCCTCACCCCCACACACACTGCCCCTCACTCCTCATACACACTGCCCCCTCACCCCCCACATACACTGCCCCAACCCCCCACACACACTCCCCCCACACTGCCCACTCCACATTGTTAGTATTAGTGCCCCCCAAGTGACTAGTGTTAGTGCCTCCCCCACCCCAGTGAATAGTGTTAATGCCCCCCCAGTGACCGCTGTTAGTGCTCCCTCAATGATTAGTGTTAGTGGCCCCCCCGTGACTAGTGTTAGTGCCCCCCCCCCCCCGCCCGTAACTAGTGTTAGTGGTCCCCCCCCCCAGTGGCTAGTGTTAGTGTGTCCTCCCCCTCCCCAACCGGTGACTAGTGTTATTGCCTGGGAAGTGCTGGTTGCGGCTGAGTTGGGAGTGAGTGCGTAAGATGGGCTTCAAAGCTGTGTTATCTTCTCTTGAGCAGAGTTCAAGCGGACGGACAGGAGCCTGCTAGTGAGCCCCGAGGGTACATCCCGCGTGGCGTTTGACCCCCAGCAGAAGCCGCGGTGCGGGGTGCTGAAGGCCCTGGCCTCCCCCTCGCCCCAGTGTGGCCCCCGCCGAGCCCGGCCCAGAGCCAGCGAGTATTTCTGACTCTTTGGCCCCTCGACTGCCAAGTTCTGACTTTCTGTAACCTCCAATGATGGCGTCCTGGAGCTGCTCATCAACCCCGCCCCTTGTTTTACCCCTTGTTTCCCCCGTTCCCCCTTGTTTTACTCCCTCACCTCCCCTTGTTTTACTCCCTCTTTGTATCCCTGATGTAGAGGGTGTGTGTGAGCCATAGGGAGCGATGGCCTGTGTAGGCTGGTGTGCGGTCGTCACTTTTGCTTTTTAAAGTTCATGATTTGTACAACCACACGCACACCTGTCCCTGGCAGAGAGAGCTCATATATAGACACACACACACACCTGTCCCCTGGAAGAGAGAGCTCACACACACACACCTATCCTCTGGCAGAGAGAGCCCACATACACAGCTGTCCCCTGGTAGAGCGAGCTCACACACACAAATACACACCTGTCCTCTGGCAGAGAGAGCTCAAATACACACCTGTCCCCTGGCAGAGAGAGCTCACACATACACACACCCCTGTCCGGTGGCAGTGGCTGATGCGTTATGTGCAGCCCCCATCTATGATGTGTCACTGACTCTGAGTCTCATCCCTTCCTGCTGAAAACTCGTGTTTTCAATCTCTTCATACCTACCCCGCGCCCCCACCCCCCACCCCACACCACCGGCCTGGGAGGAGTGAGCAGGTGTGGTGTGGGACAGATCTCTTTCTCTCTTAAGCTCTACACAACCGGGCCCAGCCTTGAGGCTGATTTCTGCTGTCAGATCGTAGATAAATTGTATAAAAGAAATATAAAGGTTAAAATGATTTACAGAGAGAGGCGTGTGGCGAAGCAGGGAAGCTCTGTTGGTCTCCGCAGTGTGCACTTGCAAGGTTCAGGAAATGTCATGGTCTCCTGGTGTCATAACCGAGCCACAGCACGGGCGCGCTCGTGTTACCCCCTGTTACAAGGAGAGAGATGCGTCAATCGTATGGAAGGGCTTGAGCTCACCTTGGTTGTGCTTGGATTTGCACAGCGACTGTCATGTCAGTGATACTGATACTGTGTATGAGCTGGTTACACCATTCGTTTCTGTTCCGCTTTACAAGGAACCGTTTAAACCCACAAGCGCCCTGTGTTATCAGTCAGTCGCATTAAATCGCTGATTGTTTTCTACAACATCACATTGTCCTTTCTTTTATTTGCAAAAGTGATTTCTGCAGCTGGCACTGGAGTCGCCGGCCGAGCCACAGAAAAGCAACCTCTGTTACAAGGTTTCTCGGCAACAGCCACACAGCAATCTTTATATGCACACAACACATTAATCTTTATGTAACCAGTGGATGAGTTATCAGAGGCTGGTCTGAGACCCTGGGGGAGAGGAAACGACAGTGGCTTTTGCGGGAGTCATTTCAGGCAGGAGGTGAAATTAGTTTTCGAGAAAGGTATGAAAGACACCAGCGCAGGCCAAGAAACAGAAACTCAGGACCAGCGTCTTGACTGCGGGGCTACAGGAGTCTCAGGGCCAGTAGCGCACAGAGACACACACACAAGGAGACACACTCACATAGAGACACTCACAAGCACTGAGAGAGAGACACTTGCATAATGACACTCATAAACAGAGACACTAATGCACATGCATAGAGATACAAACACAGACAGACGCATAGAGATACACAAATTCATAGAGACACACATATAGAGACATTCACAAATACATGGACAGAGGGAGACACAGACAATCGCAACAGCGTGGCCTCTGAGTTGAGCAAAGCCCATTTCCCACATGTACTGACCGTTCCGACCACAGTAACGTTAGATAAACAGCGCGAGAGGCCCACGGGCCAGAAACTACATTGTTTAGCGACAGCCAATTTGCACACAGCAATGTTCCACAAACCGCTATGAGTGATTTGATTTGGAGGATTGTTGGTCAGTTATGGCCCTCTGCGTGTTGAGGGAGACCGGGAGCCGGGCCAGAGAGGCTCTTAATATTCATTCCTCATTTGTAAAGTGTTATTAGTGTTTCTGACACAGATATAACAAATATAGATTTACTAATAGCTCAGATTGTACAACACAAGCACAAATTACAGAAGTGAAATATCTGAAATATTATTCAAATACAAACAGATTTGTAGTTGATTTCACAGACTTGCTGTGGTGAGACTCACTCCGACAGCAAAGCACCACTCCCGTATCCAGCGAGGACCACCCTACCCATCAGGGCTTTGGCTTCCAGGGTTAACAGGAGCTGAGTGGGATGACTCCCTGCCCCCAGTGACTGGTCTGCCCTTCCAGGTCCTGCCGATAAGCCAGGCTGGGCTGTGCTGTCATCAGCAGTGCCCTGGAATACTGCGCACCAGTCTGGCTCAGGAACCGGACGAGAGACCACCACAGAGGTCTGGCTGGGTTCCGACACTCCGTTGTCAATCATGTCATCTTGCAGCCAGTTCAGCTGCAAGGAGATCCCACTAACCTTCCCTCCCACCCCAGGATGATAGTCACCAGTTGGTCATTTGAAATCTGACAAGCGTGGGTTTGAGCCCTCGTTAGATGGATTGTAGGTACCAGCTTCCCTGCCAGCTTCCCGGCGTGCAACACAGCTCAGCATGAATTACACAAGAGCATTGCCACCATCTTGCTGTCTGCAGCTCGGGCACAAGTCCCTTCCCGTTGAGCGATGATTCCACCAATTGGAGGTGCAGAGTTTAAGCCGCAGCTGCTTACCTTTCTGCGGGTCAATCAAGGTGGATTCCAGGCGCTGGATGTACAAATATGTGTTGATGAACGTGGACTCCAGATAACGCCTTCCAGCAGCTGTTGCCCCAAGTCTCAGAGTTTCTCCATCAGCTATCTAGCAGGGATCTGCCTTCAGCGTGGTGGGAGGACCTTTACAGAAAGCTTGTGACATGCTAGCCACCTTGGTGCTCTCGAGGTCCAAGGCCAATGCTGCTTACTCAGCATCAGCTGATGAATCCAGATCCTCGGTCAGTGGCCTTGGCAAATAAATGTGCTTGCTGTGAAGCCCACTCTGCCACCAGGGTGCTTAGCGACAGGTCAGTGTAGGCCGGACTTGGACCTCAAGAACATCAAGGTGACCGATTCCTGTGTTTGCCACAAATCCACCTCACTGCTTGATCCTGGACTTTGTAAATACCGCCCCTCCCACATCTCTAGCTGCATCCCCAAGAGCTCTGAATCACAAAGGAGAACTGTTTGCATAAGAGGTCTTACATGCCACAAGCTTGACCTGCACTGGGACCTTGCTGTCCTTGAACCTCAGCGAGGTCCTTCAGGACGGTCCAAGCAAATGTTGATGTCCACGATGACCCCCAACTATTGGTCCTGATGTCCCTTGTATTTCCAATTAACAACCTCGATGTCTTCTCTTAGCCCTGCAGAGCCAGGATGTCTCACTTGGGCCCCCACCCGCCCCACTGCATAGCCCAGTGTACACGCTGGTCAGTGCAGCACACACAGCCCCAATAACAGACATGCTGCCGGCAGGCACCACAACATCCTGCTCGAATGCTTGCTCACTTACTCACACAATCTCTTTTCTGCCCTGGGAATGCGAGGAATGGAAACTACGTGAATGATGATTTTTATTTGAATTCCTCTCTAATCGGTTCGGTCACGTTTATCTGCGGTGCTGACCTTCATAATAGCGTTCTGTGCCTGCACAGGATGCTCAATTTCCCATTTAGTGACAGTCTGGGTTGTGGGGTGGGGGTGAACCCTGAGAGTGCTTCCCACACTCGATACCCCCTCCCCTTCCTTCGCCCACCCGTTTATTGTGCAAAATTCACACTCCTAAATAAATGTTAAACAATAAAATATTCTCCACTTCTAATCAAATAACTTAATGACCGAGCCACCCTCACGCAGCAGCTCGCTCGCTCACTCACTCACTCACTCACTCGCTCACTCACTCACTCCCTGTCTGTGAGATGTGCATCACTCACTCAGTGTGAGATGAGTCACTCTCTGTGTGAGGCTGGGGCTGGGAGCGGGGCTAGGACATGCCTACAAGCCGCAGGATGAAGTGTGTGCTGGGTGGTGGCTCCGGGCTTTGTGGGCGTTCTTGGCACTGCCTCGTTTGGTGAGAGCGATGTACAGTCGTGGGTGTGAGTGCGACGAGTAGGTGGTGTAATAATTCTCCTCCATCTTCTCTCGGAATAAGCAGTCCTTGGTGAAGGTTTTCTGCAGAGGCAAGGAGTCAGAATCACTGGCGTTAGAAGAGCGGGTGGGAGTGCGGGTGGGAGTGTGTGTGTGTGTACATAGGGGAGGGTGGGAGTAGTTAGGGGAGAGAGCCAGGGAGGGGGTGAGACGATCTGGGAGGAAGATGGGGGGTTGGGGTGGCGGGAGGGGGTAAGCTGGCGGGGGTTTGTGGAGGAGGGTGAGTGGGGTGAGGAGGGATTGGGACTCACCGAGCCGTACAGGGTCCCACGGGGGCTGAGGGCCAAGAAGAGGCCGGTGCCCGCTGCCCGCACACCCACTGTGCCCACCCCCACAGACAGCAGCTCCAGCACACCTGCGGAGAGAGAGAGACCAGGATCACCTGTTAAACATGATAACATGGGCGGAGGAGTTACACAGAATAATGTGTGTGAAACATAACATGGGGTGGGGGGGGGGTTATTCATCATAATGGGGAACGGTGAGAGGGTTGTTACACACAATACCAGGTGGTGTGTGAATTATACTCACTATAGGGGTTGCTCTGGTGGACACCATTCACGGTGCCATCAGGAAGCACTTGCAGGTGGAAGCCGATTCCAATGCGACAGTACAGGAGGCGCTGACGCACAGGGTTGGTGCTGCCCTTCATTATGTTGTGTGAAATCCTGTCTGCAAGAAGCACAAGCAACACACTCAATACCTGTCCATTCACTGTTTGCCTGCGCTGTGCTGCCACTGACCTGGGAGTGTGGACTGACAGTGCAGAGGGATCTTTACTCTTGTTTTTAATCCTGAACTGGGAGTGTGGACGGACAGTGTAGAGCAGGAGTGGGAAAAATATGGCCCACGGGCCACAACCAGCCCGCCAAATGATTCTACCCGGCCTGTCGTTGTGTCTAGCAATAGAAAAAATTATAGTTCGTTCAGTCCCAGAGAGTCGCATAAAATTCGCATATGAATCAGACCGGGATCATCAGCCAATCACGCTGCTTAGTTGTGCGCACGCTCCCTTAAGTGTTGAATCAGGCTGACGTCAGAAAGGTACGGATCGGCAAATTTTCAAACACGCTCGCGGCAACCACGGCAATACTTTTCACGGAAGAGGACATTCATTCGAAATTAGTTTATCAAAGAAGCGGAAAGTGACGCTGAAGGCCGAATATTCAACAAAGAATGAACTTCTAAATATTTTTGTACCGGTGTGGGTGGAAAAGCTGCGCGCTGCTTGCTCCTCAATCCACAGCCCGCTGCCTCCGCTCGACTGGCTCTGGCCATTTGCATGTCGCTCGTGCCCTCTGTTCCACCTTCGGTGGCCGCCCTTTCAGCCACTACTCCCCAAAACTCTGGAACAATCTTTCTCTATCCCTCCACTTTGCCCCCTCCTCCTCATCTTCAGGTTGTGCCCGAAGACCTTCCTCTTTGACTTACAGACAGTCACCCTCACTCCATCCCTCGGTTTGGGACGCTACCCTGTGTGAGAGGCGCTGTATAAATGCAAGTAGTTGTTGTTGTTGCTGCTGCGTTCTGTGCTGTTCCTGACCTGGGAGTGTGGACGGACAGTATAGAGGGAGCTTTACGTTGTCTCTAAGTTGTGCTAACACTGATCTGGGAGTGCAGGCAAACAGTGTGAAACTGACATGGTTGCAGGATTCTAGCTGATCGGTTGCTACTCGCTGGGAGCGTGGACTATTGTGTACTATTGTGGTCCTATTAAATACCTCGTGTCAGTTTGGGACTGTTTTGATCTGTTGTGTGTCCGGCAGGTCCTGGGATTCGAAGTGGACACAGTGAACTCGGTGCAGTTTTCCAATCACACAGGTAAGCCCCAGACACTCCCTCCATCTGCAATGCAGCTTCCAGCACTTCATGAACTCTTACAGTTTGAAGGATCTCTTGTTTTGAGGCATGAGCACAAACCTGACCTGCACTTAGTCTTGGGTTGTCACCAGGCAGGAACAGGCCTGTTCATTCTGTCCCAGAAATGTTCTCCACACCATACAGCTAGGCTGCTGATCATTACCCCCACTCCCTTGAACATTCGGCCTCTTCAAGCATTGGATTAATTCCCTTTTTAAACAGTTTGAGACTCAGTTTCAGTTTATGATCTAACCTGGCCTCAGCCTGGCTCGGTCGCACTTTCACCTCGCGAGTCAGAAGGATGTGGGTTCGAACCTGAAGTCGGGACTTTGACCTCACGGTCTAAGCTGATACTCCAATGCAGTGCTGAAAATTGTCGGAGGTGCCGTTCTTTGGATGAGAAGTTAAACTAAGGTCTCCTCTCTGCCTGTTCATGTAGACGTTAAAGATCTCATGACCTTATTTGAAAGGAGAAGGGAGTTTCTCTCTCCCAGTGTCCTGACAACAATCCCCCAGGTACAATTGGTGTTGCTCTTCATGGATGTTTGTGGAATTTTCCTGTGTGCAAATTAATTGCTGTGTTTGCCTGTAAAATACCTCGTCACTACACTTTACCGTAAAATCCTGTGAAGAGCTTTGAGATGTCTTGATGATGTGATAAGGCACTGTATTAAATGGAAGAAATATTTATAACCACAATGCCTCCAGTGCCACTGCCCTCAGTGTGAAGATATTTTTTCTGATCTTTTTACTTCCTTTTTATGATTACTTTAAATTTCTGCCCTCTTGTTACTGTCTCATGAACCAGTGGCAAAAATTAATTACTATTTACCCTGTCACAACTCTTCATAATCATGAAGGAGTCTTATCAGGTCACCTCTCAACCTTCTTAGCTCGAAAGAAATAGCCTTAACATTTCAAGTCTCTCTTCACAACTGATTTCCTCCCCAATGCCTTGCAACACGCTGCACCATTTTCCAATCATTTTTAGGCTTAGAATTGTATAGAATTGGATGGCTGGACTGCCTGACTCACAGCCAGTATATCTGCTGCAGGGTATGATCACTGGACGGGGCAGGTCATGACAGCCAACGAGCTGCACACACTGTATGATGGGCTGAAGCTGAACGGTGTAAATCGCTACGACTATGTGTTGACAGGTAAGCAAGAGGCGTCTGTATGAAGTGAGTGTCTCTAACCCTGTGCTATCACTGACTTGAGATTGTGGACCTGTAGTGTAGAGGGAGCTTTACTCTGTCTCTACCGCTGACCTGGATGTGTAGTCGGACAGTGTAGAGGGAGCTTTACTCTGTGTCTAACCGTGCTGTCGCTGACCTGGAAGTGTGGATGGACAGTGTAGAGGGAGCTTTACTCAGTCTCTAACCCTGACCTGGGAGTGTGGCTGGACAGTGCAGAGGGAGCTTTTACTATATCTCACCTGCACTAACCACACATGCTGCTAATTTGATTAACTGAGCCGTGTCTGGCTGTTTATGCTGTCGTGTAGATATGTCAGTGGAATGTGGAGCTGCGGAGGTTTTCATTTGTTGATCTGCCACCTGGAATCTCACTGATTGAATCCGTTGCTTTTAATCCAAAGGATATACACGAGATGCGTCATTCCTGGAAATGGTGGTGGATATCATCAGAGAGCTTAAGTGTCAAAACCCCAACCTGGTGTATGGTGAGCAGCTCCCAGATCTGTCTGTGTTTTTGTGTGTGTGCGTCTGTATCTGTGCCTGTGTGTGTGTCTGTATCTGTGCCTGTGTGTGTGTGTGTCTGTATCTGTGCCTGTGTGTCTGTATCTGTGCTTATCTGTGCCTGTGTATATGTCTATCTGTGCCTATGTGTCTCTGTACCTGTGTGTCTCTGGATCTGTGTGTGTATTTGTGTGTGTGTGCGTCTGTGTGTGTGCCTATGTCTATGTGTGTGTGTGTGCCTGTATATGTGTACATGTGTGTGTATGTCTATGTGTGCCTCTGTGTGTGTGTGTGTGCTTGTGTGTGTATATGACTGTGTGTGTATAACTTCTGAATGTGTGTAGGTACTTGTAAGGGCGCAAAGGCACATATATTTGTTTACTATATGTTTACCAACATGTCCCAGTGTGTGCATACGCGCTCTGGGACATGTCCATGCGTGTAATTCGCTTTCCCGAAGACATGTCTCTGTGGCCCTCCTCTGTGCAGTTCTGTGTCTGTGTGTCCCTGTGTCTGTGTGTGTGTGCGTGGGTGTGTGCTCTCTGTACCTGTGTACATAACCTCTGATGTGTATTTGGGGCCACAAGAGCTGTGGATGTGGGGCAGGAGGGAGAGTAACACTGAGAGCTCTAGGTGACTGATCCTCTTTGCTCTCACAGTTTGTGACCCAGTGATGGGAGATCAGAGAAATGGTGATGGTTATATGGTAAGTGTGTTAGACAGCATGAGCCCATTATAGCTTTGTGAGAGTGGGATGGGAGGGAACGTGTGTGTGTGCCGGGTGGGGAACGTGTGTGTGTGTGTGGGGGGGGAACGTGTGTGTGTGTGTGGGGGGGGGAACGTGTGCGTGTGTGGATAGAGAAAGTGTGTGTGGGGGGGGGAACGCGCGTGGAGGGGAGTGGGAGGGATATGTTGAGGGTCGTAAATGTGGGGTGGGAGGGGAATGTCGAGGGGTTTAAATGTGGGGGGGTGGACTGTCGGTGGGGCAGGGGGTTGATTGTTAGCAATAGCGAATGAGTGACTGTTCTGTTCTGTTCACAGTATGTCCCAGAGCACCTGCTCCCTGTTTACAAGGAGAAGGTTGTGCCAGTGGCTGATATCATCACTCCTAACCAGTACGAGGCAGAGTAAGTGTCTAATACAGGGCTGGTTGTGACTGTTCTGGGTGTGAACTGGACAAGATTGATGGCCCGATTCCCTGGGGAGGGAACAGCACATCTGAGCGGGGGTGGTTGGGGCTGGAGAGGGAGACCTACAAGTGTGAGCCTTCCCATTGCAAATGGTTGGCAGCTGATAAGTCTGTGTGTTTTGCTGGAGAAATATTTTAGTGCAAGGTTACACAAACACTCCTACCCCTGGCCAGCTTTTATCTCCTGGTGAGACCTTGCTGCTTCTCTGGCTCAGCGGGGAGGAGTGGCCCAGAGTTTGAGACCTTCCGCCTCATATCTGTACATCTCATACCACCTCATACACGGACTTTGAGTCCATTGAAATTTTTGTAAGCAGACGGGGAATGTGTGCACCTTAGCAACATAACCAGTGTTTTGGGGGTGATTTGGGTGAGCCAGGAACATTGGCCAGGAGACTGGGTGGAACGTCCATCTGAGTCCCACAGCAACTGGAGCTGATGAACATTATGATGTGCGCAGGAACAAGATGGTCGGAGAGAGAAATGACAAAGTTCTCAGGTCAAATAAAATGTCTTTAAGGGAATGTGCATCACCAGCAACATATTCTCACAGACATTCTGAGATCCCAGCCTTGGCGTCCTGTTTCAGGGCTGCCAATCCACCAGAGCATCTCAGCACTAGTCAGCCAGACACTCCAGCCTGGTGAGAGCAGAGCCGCCATGGAATTCCAGAGGATTCCCATTTCCGCTCTTACACTCACACGGGCCAGAGTTTACCCCCACAGATTCCAGATCCGGCCTCTGTCCTCCCTGTCTCCTCTCCCCTCCCTGTCTCCTCTCCCCTCATTGTCTCCTCTCCCCTCCCTGTCTCCTCTCCCCGTCTCCTCTCCCCTCCCTGTCTCCTCTCCCCTCCCTGTCTCCTCTCCCCTCCCTGTCTCCTCTCCCTCCCTGTCTCCTCTCCCCTCATTGTCTCCTCTCCCCTCCCTGTCTCCTCTCCCCGTCTCCTCTCCCCTCCCTGTCTCCTCTCCCCTCCCTGTCTCCTCTCCCCTCCCTGTCTCCTCTCCCCTCCCTGTCTCCTCTCCCCTCACTGTCTCCTCTCCCCTCACTGTCTCCTCTCCCCTCATTGTCTCCTCTCCCCTCACTGTCCCCCTCACTGTCCCCCCTCACCGTCCCCTCTCCCCTCACCGTCCCCTCTCCCCTCACCGTCCCCTCTCTCCTCACCGTCCCCTCTCTCCTCTCCCCTCACTATCCTCTCCTCTCCCCTCACTATCCCTCTCCTCTCCCCTCACTATCCCTCTCTCCTTTCCTCTCCCCTCACTATCCCGCTCCCTTCCTCTCAGGATATGTGTCTTTTCTCTCTTCCAGAATTCTAGCGGGAAAGAAGATGAACACAGAGAAGGAAGCCCTGGAGGTAAACACGCCTGCTGTTGGTGTGTGTCTGGGGATAAGGTCCGCAATTCACACATGAATAGTTGGAGGGTTCATCTTGAGTGACAAGCAATATGGCCATCAATCTTGTCCAGTTCTCACCCAGGACAGTCACAAACAGGAGCCCTGTTTTAGACGTTTACTTTGCCTCGTACTGGTTGGGAGTGTAGGTTAGATCGAGACATTAACACTTTTCGTCCACACTCCCAGGTCGGCCACAACACGGGTTAAAGGTCCCTCTACACTGTCCGTCCACACTCCCAGGTTGGATGAATCATAATGAGGATTGATTGTGCTACGCTCAAACCAGCACCATCATAGTGACCGAGGGTGGTGGGAGGGGTGGGCGGAGGAGGTGTGGTGGGGAGGGGGGTGAAATGGCGGGGGGGGTGAGGGGCATTGATGGGTGGGAGGCAGGGCTGGGGCCGGTGACGGGGTCCTGAGTGTAGTGACTGTTCTCTCCTCATTCCTAGGTTATGGACCTTCTCCACGCGATGGGCCCTGAAACGGTGGTGATCACGAGCTCTGACTTACCCTCGTCCCTGGGAAAAGACTATCTGATCGCGCTCGGCAGCCTGAGAAAGAGTGAGTAAATACCCATCGCCCACACACACCACCCCCCACACCCCCCCCCCCCTCCCCCAATCCTTATTAAAATTCCCTCAACTCACGACGGTTTGTGGGACACTGCTGTGCGCAATTGGCTGCCGCGTTTCGCCCCCAAAACGTGCAATCAATTCACTTCACAGTGTATGCTGTGAAGCTCTTTGACGCGCCTCGAAGATGTGATAAGGCGCTGCATCAAATGCCTGATTATTAACGGTGCAGCTTGACCCCCACCACTTCTTGGCTTGGAGGCAAGAGAGCTGCAGCTGAGCCAGGCCGAACCCAGGAGCTTGTGACAGAGGAGAATTGGATTATTTATTTATTGGTTTATTGATTGCTGGGCTCCGCGGACCAGTCCTGTAACGTCGCGGTGAGGAGCCGCGGGGTGGGGGTGGGGGTGGGGGTTGCGTTGGGTGCTGCTGTGTGGTTGCCTGGGTTTACAGCACCCCACAGTGGCGGGTACTCAGCACTGCAGTAGTACAGTGGAGTCCTGTAGCTCAGTGGTTAGAGCACTCGCTTTGCAAGTGAGAGACCTGAGTTCAATTCCAGGCAGAGGGCGAAACCTTGGGCAAGTTTCCTTACTCCACACAGAGCCTAATAATAAACCCTCCAAAACAAAACAATAATAAATTGGTCATTTTCAATCTACGACTGTTTGTGGGACACTGCTGTGCGCAATTGGCTGCCGAGATCGCCCACAAATATACAGTCAATTCATTTTACAGTGTGTTCTGTGAAGCGCTTTGGGACGTCCTCCCAAAGCGCTATATCAAATGCAAGGATTATTATTATTATTACAGACTGAACAGGGCAAACCTGGAATACTGCCCAGGGATGGCTGCTTTCGACCTGTAGTGAAGGAGGTTTTTTACTGTCTCTGAGTCCAACATACGGCCTTTAGCTGAAGTGCAGGACATGACTGGAGGGGGAGTAATGTTGAGTTGTTTTTTTTTAATGCAGTAAAAGCAGACGGGACGTTGGTGAAGGAGCGAATCCGAATGGAGATCCCGAAGGTGGACGCTGTGTTTGTGGGCACCGGGGACCTGTTCACTGCCATGTTGCTGGCCTGGACACACACCCACCCAAACAACCTGAAGGTGCCAGCGTGGGCCAGCGGGCTGGGGGTGGGGGAGGTGGTGCGGGTGGCTGGTGTGTACAAGTGCGTGGCGGGGGGTGGGGAGTGGATGGGGAGTTTGGGGGTCTGACTGTGGCTGTGCTGTGAGGAGTGGGGGTGAATGTGGCTGTGCTCTGGTGGGGTGGGGGTGATGTTGGCTGTAGTCTGGCGGTGGGGTGATGGTTGTTGCCTTGTCACACAGATGGCCTGTGAGAAGACGGCCTCAGCATTGCAGCACATTGTGAGGAGGACGATCAACCATGCAAGAGGTAAGGAGCCAGGGATGTGGGTGGGGGGGTGCATGCTGGGATGGGGGGGGGGCACCTGGGATGGGTGGGGGGGGCTGCATTGCTGGGTGGTGGGCTGTCGCGTTGGGTGGGGAGGCTGCAGCGCTGAGGGGAGTGTTAGACATTAAATCGAGGCTCATGGTGGGCAGTAAAGATGCTGTGGCACAACAGTATTCGAAAGGTGAAGGGAGTTTCTCTCTCTCTCTCCCGGTGTCCTGGCAACAATCTCCCAAATAAAAGCACTCACTCACTCCGTGATTTAAGGCTGTTTGGAGGATACCAACTGCTGTGCGTAAATTGGCTGCTGCGTTTGGCGGTGAAAAAAGTCACTACACATTACAGTGAAGCACTTTGAGACGCCCTGATATGGAAGTTGCTGTAACACCCTGAGCTCCTAGCTTCTGCCCCAGGTTGCTGTGTGCGTGCGTGTGCTTCACTCTCTGGCACCTCCCTACCTCTCCGACCTCCTCACTCCCCAATCCACCACCCAGCGCCTCTGCTCGACTGGCACTGACCTCCTGCTTGGCCCTCACCGTCAGAGGTCGCGCTTTCAACAACAACAACAAAATTACATCTGTATAGCGCCTTTCACGTCGGGAGGATGTCCCAAGGCACTGGACAGACAGAGTTATGGGCCCGAGCTGAAGGTTGGGTGGAGAGGGCAGGGGGGCAAGCAGGGAGATTGAAAGCACGGTCGACGTAGGGACTTGCGGTAGGTCTTGAAGGTGGCGAGGGAGGGGAAGAGACGGAGGGACTGCGGGATGCAGTTCCAGAGGGTGGTGCAGAATGACGGAATGCCCGCCCGCCGATAGTGGGGCGAGCAAGGCGGGGGACATAAAGCAGGCCGGAGCCCGCCAAGCGGAGGGAGCGACCAGAGTAGCAGGGGATTAGCAGGTTGGAGAGGTAGTGGGGAGCTAGACTGTGGAGGGCTTTGAAGGTGAGGACCAGGATCTTGAACTGTATCCTCTGTGTGATGAGAAGCCAATGGAGTTGGGCGAGGATGGGGGTGATAGGGTTTCAGAGCTTAGTGCGGGAGAGGACACGGGCCGCAGAGTTCTGGATGATCTGCAGCCTGTGGAGGGAGGAGTTGGGGAGGCCGACGAACAGTGAGTTTGCATAGTCGAGCCTCGATGTAACGAAGGCGTGTATCCACTGCGCCCCGAAACACTCCCTCAATCCTGCCACCTTGTCCCCTCCCCTTTTTCAAACCTTACTCTTTGACCGTGCATATGGCCACCTCCCCGCCCCAGCTCGGAGTCAGGCTCTGCCATTGTTAAACGCTCTGAGACATTACCATGCATGGAGGGCACTATATGAGTGCAAGTTTTTGATGGTTTGGGGGGGGTGGGGGGGCTGGGCTGCGATCCCATGATGCTGTGTGTGGGAGGTGGCGGGGGGGTACGAGACTTCAGGGCCTTTGTGTGTGGGCAGGGAGGGGATGCTGTGCTGACCCCGCAGAGAGAGGGGGTGACTTCCTATGGTGGGTGTTGGTGAGGGTCTGCGGGCGGGCGGGCAGACTGACCGCTCTCCCTCTCCGCAGTCATGGCTGGATTGGGGAGGAGGCCCAACTCTGCGGAGCTGGAGTTACGTGTGGTGCAGAGCAAGTGCGACATCGAGAACCCCGAGATCATCATCCACGCCACCATCATCTAACATCCAGCCGCACAGCACAGCCCTCCCACACTCATTGAGTGTGGCTGCCAGCCCGGGGTAAGGGGAGGGCAGAGGGAGTAACAATCAGTGAGGATCCCCGCCCTCCCTCGTCCCCCTTCCCCCCCTCCGTCCACCTCCCTCACCTCCCTCTCCCCTCATCCCTCTCTTCCCTCCTCTCCCCTCTCCCCCCCCCCCCCCCCTCACCCATTGGGTGAGCAGAGTCAGTGGGGTGCTGCCGCAGACTGGCTGCCTCACTCGCTGGCCCGTGGAGCGTGCAGTGAGGATGGGTGAGGTGGGGGGCGGGGGCGCTGCTGTCAGGGCGAATTTGTGTCCATCACTGAATATTGTGACGTAGAATTTATAATGAACGATTAATTTCTAATATTTTTTTAAATTAACTTTTTGATTCCCGTCTGGTTTCTGTTTGTGATTGTTCCACAGTGGAGCGCCCCCTCCTCCCTCCCCCTGTGGCGTAGCTGTGTATTGTGTATAGTGCATCAACTGTTGGACACGTATGTTCTCTTCTAAGTCCCAGCCCAGCACTCCTCTCACTTCATTTGGTTTTCAGCCACAGCAGAGGGTCAGACTTCTCTGTGTGTAGCACTCTTGTGTCAGATCAGACCAGACCAGCCTACAATTATGTAAGGATTTGATAAGGAGGGCGATAAGAATGTGTGCCTGGTGAGATGTCTTGCCATTGATGTGCACAGTGAGAGCTGGCCTCAGTCAGAGCATGATGTGTGTGCAGGGTGAGAGCTATCTGCCCAGTGCGGACGCAGATACATTGATTAAACCGGCTGCAGCCCCGCTCCCTTTCCAAGGCACCGCCAGCCCTCAGGATTGCACACAGATCGAGATTTTGCACTCCCTCCCTGGGGCTAGACTTCTGGGTGATTTGCAAATTTGTGTTGAATTCCCAACCTTGGGCATTGGGGGTGGGCGGGAGGAGGGGGAGTTCACAGGCCGAGGAGATGTGCTACTGTTCAGTATTATAGTTGATCTAACAAAAGCTGTGGCCCTGGGCAAGGGCACTTGTTAACTTGCTTGATTTCTCACCAGTCTCGATGCCGTCCATCTTTCACCTCTGCTTTGTGTGTCACTTTGCTGTGTTGTACACGTCTGAATGCGGAGCTGGCTAGTGCTGACTGTGTTTGTCACAGCCAGCAGCCACTTGCCGATCTGACTCCCAAGCTCCTTACACCAACATTTACCTGAGCTCAGGTGCGTTCCTTCCAAGTACCTACCTGGAGCCTTACGGGCTCTAGAGGTGTGGTAGAACACATGGCAGTGGGGGAATGTCTGGGAAGCGGCTGAGGACAGGTGAATGGAGCCACAGCAAACCTGGAGGTCAGACACATTATTCAAAGTTGTGCAGAAGTTTTGTGAAGTGTAACGTGGGGCTGGCGGTCTGCCCAGGTCTCAGCGATTCCAGCCTCGGTCCATTGTCTTAGAATCAGAGAACTTTATAGCACAGAAGAAGGTCGTTTGTGTCTGTGCTGGTTCTTTGAAAATGCAATCCATTCAGTCCCCGTTTACCTGCCCTTTGCCCCAAATCCCTGCAAATTACTCCCATCGTAGATATGTGTCTCGTTCTCACTTGAACACTAATATGGATCCTGCCAAGACCTTTGCACCCGGCCACATTCTACATCCTAACAAGTCTGTAAACTCCTAGCATTCCACATACTAACAACTCTATAAAACCAGTTCTTCTGATCTTCCTCTGTCCAATATTCTTGATTATCTTAAATTGCTGCCTCTGCCCCTCTATGGCCCTGACACCTTCTCTAAGAGTGGGGTGACTTTAGGAAGCATCACCTCTGGTTTTATATTCTAATTTTTCTAATATTTATAAAACCTGGGCTCCTATTAGCTTTCTGCAACTTTGCACACCTACCTTCTCACCTTTACAGATTTCTGTATGTTAACCCTATGTCTCTCTGCTCTTCTGCTCCTCTTAAAATGCTAATTTAGCAGAAACTTCCTCTCCTTAAACTTCCTCCCCCAAAATGTCAGCATTTATGGTGAAATAGGATTTCAGAAAACCCTTAAATTCAGCCTTCATTGGGCAACCGATTGTTCATCATTCTTACAAGGTAACCAGCTTCAAAAATGAGAGCAAATTTGTAGATTTTCCAAAATTATGCTGATATTAACGGTGGTTTTAAGGCTAAGATGAAGTGGGATTTTGGGTTGCTGAAGCTTTTTATAAGGTACAGCACACGTCCCTCCCCTCACAATCCACCCAGCTGCTGCGTGGGGAATGCAGGACACAATCCCCACCCTACCCCACCTCCCCACACTTTTCCTGAAGCTGATTGTGTTTCTTGCACTGTATCATCCAGTCTTAAACCCAGGGGTGAGCTTGTCACCTGGGCCCCAGCTGGCAAAGCCGCTTCCTCGCACAATCCAAGCCAAACAGACAAGAAGGTCGCAGGTTCGATCCTCGCTCTGAGCTGCGCTGTTGATCTCAGGCAGGACAGCAGTTGAGGCCTCGATTGCCTCACTGCCCCTGGGATAAAGAGGCTCAAATCGGCTCGTGTTACCTGCTCTTGATCACCATCCAGTGAACCCACATTTTCCCTGTTAGAATGTGTTAGTGACACTCAGTCATCGAAGTGAGGTACCACAGAGGCCTGGTAAACCCTCCCTGTGCGGCTGCCCAACATCACAGTTGGAGGAATGTCCTTGTGTTATTTAAATTTGTAGCTTGTCTCCAGCTGCAAGCGGCTTGTGTAATCCACTCCTTCTGCAGTGTTGTTTTTCACCCAGGTCTAACCAAATCCCCCTTCCCATCCCACACACCTGAACCCACCAGAATCCCCTTTCCGGGTGTGAAGTGCAGGTCCTCTGATTGACAACCCGTCACCATCGTGTTGTACAACTGTGAAACTTCTCTCGTTCCTGGTGGAGTTATCGTGTCACTACTGTAGGCTACGTGTATCTGTCCTGAGGGACACCAATGTATTTTACTGTCTGTGCCATCTTAATATATCAAACCAATCAATTAATGAGACTCACTTTTGAAATTAATTTGCATAAGTTATTTAAAGATTTATCCTTAATTGGAAATAAATAGTTTATTTGATAAGATGTTGGGTTCCCTGACTTTTCTTTTGCTTTGTAAATCTTTTTGCCCGCTTTTGAGCAACAGCTTCTGTGGTTAGTCTGACTGTGGTGCAATGTGGTGGTGGAGGGAGCGCTGAATTGTCAGAGGTGCTGTTCTTTGGATGAGACTCGAAACCAATGTCCCGTCTGCCTGTTCAACGCAAACGTTAAAGATCCTGTTTTAAAAGAGGAGGGAGTTTCTATTCTCTATGATTCTATAATTCTATGAAGCCCATGGATTAAGGGAACAGTAACAGCAAGGATCCGAAATTGGCTGGGAGACAAAAAGCAGAGGGTAATGGTGATCGGTTGTTTTTCAGACTGGAGGGAGGTATACAGTGGTGTCCCCCAAGGGTCGGTATTAGGACCAAAGCTCTCCTTAACAAGCTGTAACCATTGCAGCTTCGCTTGCAACCAAAAGATCAATATGGAATGTAGATTGACACACAGACAGACATTTTGTCTATCTATACTCAGCGAGGAGGACTCCTGTGAGAGGCCTCAGTGGGAGGCCTCCTGTAGGTCAGGCAGCTTCTATGGAGAAAGGAAAGTGAGTCAACGTCCATGACCCGAAATGTTTTTGTTTCAGATTTCCAGAATCTGCAGTATTTTGCATACTGTAAATTGAATCGACTGTATATTCTGTGAGTGAAATGCGGGAGCCAATTGCTCACAGCAGTGTCCAACGAACAGTAGTGGATTGAGTGGCCAAATTATTATTATTATCACATCAGCCCTAGTCAGCTTCCCTGTTGCTGAACGGATCGATTTCAAGATCCTCACACTCATTTTCAAATCGTTCGCCCTCTGCACCTCCCTACCTCTCTGACCCGCTTACCCCCCAATCCACTACCCACTTCCTTCACTTGACTGGCTCCAGCCACTCGAACGTTCTTTGCGCCCTCTGTCCTTTCAACCGCCGATGGCCGCGCTTTCGGACACTACACCCGAAACTCTGGAACACTCTTCCGCTATCCCTCTGCCTTGGCCCCTCCTTTGCCATCTTTTGACTGAAGGACTTCCTCTTCTACGGTGACCTCCCTCTTCCCCTGGCTCGGTGTCGTGCTCAGCGACTGTCAAGTGCTCTGGGGCACTACCCTGCGTGGGGGGGGGGCTCTGTAAATGCAAGTTGTATTTTTTGGGGAAAGGTGGGCAATATTGCCAATCGACTAACAACAGGGCTCCTACTTTTTCCCAGATGAACAGAGACGTACGTGTGTGTGAGTAAGGAGACTTGCTAAGGTTTTGTTGGTCCTGCACCGGGGGCGGGAATCAAACCCAGGTCCTCTCGCTAACCAGGCGAGAGGAGGCAGCCCAACAACCACTGCACTGCACTACACTGGACCATGCCACACCGGCAGCCTGTGATTGGCGGGGAGAGAGCGAGCTGTGATTGGTGGGGAGAGAGCGAGCTGTGATTGGTGGGGAGAGAGAGAGAGCTGTGATTGGTGGGGAGAGAGCGAGCTGTGATTGGTGGGGAGAGAGAGCGAGCTGTGATTGGTGGGGAGAGAGAGAGCGAGCTGTGATTGGTGGGGAGAGAGCGAGCTGTGATTGGCGGGGAGAGAGAGTGAGCTGTGATTGGCGGGGAGAGAGAGCGAGCTGTGATTGGCGGGGAGAGAGAGCGAGCTGTGATTGGTGGGGAGAGAGAGAGAGCTGTGATTGGTGGGGAGAGAGAGCGAGCTGTGATTGGCGGGGAGAGAGAGCGAGCTGTGATTGGTGGGGAGAGAGAGCGAGCTGTGATTGGTGGGGAGAGAGAGCGAGCTGTGATTGGTGGGGAGAGAGAGAGAGCTGTGATTGGTGGGGAGAGAGAGCGAGCTGTGATTGGCGGGGAGAGAGAGCGAGCTGTGATTGGTGGGGAGAGAGAGCGAGCTGTGATTGGTGGGGAGAGCGAGCGAGCTGTGATTGGTGGGGAGAGAGAGCGAGCTGTGATTGGTGGGGAGAGAGCGAGAGAGCTGTGATTGGTGGGGAGAGAGAGC